AACAAGGTGGGGTCTGGGGGCTTGCCCCCCCCACTCCCCCCCCCCCAACCTTACTTATACTATGATAAATGTTAATTGAAAGTATGGTTGCCCCCTTTTAGTAATGTATAGAAAATGTAGAATAAAAATTGATACTAAACGTAGTTGACATTGAGAAAAAGTTGGATTCCCCCCATCCCCACGAAATAGAATTTTCGACTTTGGGCAACTTTTCCTTTTTTATTTTTTTTTTTATTTTTATTTTATTTTATTGCTTGTCAACTTTTTCAGGTAAGTAAAAAAAAAATTCTGGCCTTCCACACCCCCACTTTCAAAAACGATGCTACGTGTGTCATGTGGCTTCTATACTTTTTCGCATGTTTAACGTCTCCAGAACTCAGAACAAACCTTAACAATTGTTTGGAAATAGAGATTCAAGTTAACTTTACCCTATTGAAGGTAATTTTAATAAATTAGCACGATTTACATACAAATATATTCCAACTGAGAGATGAAAAAAACTTTTTTATTTAAACTACTTATCCTACGTGACTAACATTTTGCCATTATATGTCAGAAAAGGTAGGAATAGCTTAACATATTTTGGTAAATTTATTCGAATTCTTCATCAGAAAAATGACGGATGAAGGATATGGAGGTAACGAACAGTATTTAATATCAAAGTCCATAAAACAATACAAAATAGGAGCAGAGCAAACACAGACCTCCGATACATCAGAGGTGGAATCAGGTGCCATGAAGGAGTGAGCATCCCCTGCTGTTTGTTGTATGTTTGCTAATAGTTTAAAAGAATTTCAAGTAATGCCTATATTTACTTTTGCCTAAAATATGTTATACGTATACACCCAATAGTTAATAAAATATTTTTATAAAAAGAACGCTAGGGTTTAATTGTCTATATTTACGCGGCAGGAATTATACCGACATAATTTTGACAGCTTCTATCTTCGCCTTCTTCTGATAGAATAAGTGATTATTTAATTAATTCATTTGTAGTCGACAGAACCTTTGCGACACATTCCCAGAGATGAAATGCGGCATGTGAAATCTAGCACAATGTAAGTTTATCTCTAGACAAGAAATATAGATTTTTTTACTAACAAAATATATATATGGGTCTAATTTTTTTTCTATATTAAAGGGTTAAACAAGGTATAACTAAAGTTTTATGCTTATGTATGCATTTAGAAATAAGCACACTGGCGGAATTCATGGTATGTTTGAGTTGTACACGGAAAATCGAACTTTTTATATCGAGGTAAATATTTATCATTTTTTTAAATTAATTTCTTAATCAGCACTGCTAAATGAAATTTGTTAAGACTTTCATATAATGACGTGATAATAAGTCTAAGTTTGCTCAACTTCTATATGACATTCATCTGACTGCGATTTTTTTTTTTACATTTATTTAATGTTCTGTTTCATTTTGAATATTACAAAATTTAATGTATATTATCAGCAGGAAATTCTGCAACAGTTAAACTGGAATTTTATTTTTCATATCTCATGAGTTAACTTTATATATTAATATATATAATTAATATTGATATATTTTTATACAGTGTGAAAGTCCTGCCGAGGTTCAGGCATGGATCAAAGCAATTAAATCTCTTCTGCCCCGCAAGGTAGGAATTTTTAACATTTGTTGATGCAAAAGTTATATTTAAGATTTTGCATTAGCAAACCTTAAGCAGTAACCATAAGATTCACAGAGATATCTGTTATTATATTTTGTCGTTTTGAGATTTTTTTCCCCAATATCTTTACTAATAGTCTATACTATGTCTATAACAGGTATAAATATTCTTTACTGTGTCTTCATCAAGATTCAACGGTGTTCTAAATCAAATAAGACCTACTACATTTAATATCAAAGAAGATATGTGTACTTATTTTGAATACTATGGAATCATTAGATTTTATGTTGATGTAATTGTAGTGGATTTTGTGGGTCCATATCATTCGGAAAACATTCTCCGCCAATTAACAAATTATAGTAACAAAGTCATATTTCCTTCTGAAGTTATAAAAGAATGCATGAAATTACATTCCAAATGACACCCAATAATTTTAAGTATTCCACAGTGGTTAATTTGTTTTAAATATAACCTCTCGGGTGACGTGTCCACTTTGTTTTCTGTTTACACTGATGACGTGTTCACTTTGTTTTCTGTTTACTCTGATGACGTGTTCACTTTGTTTTCTGTTAACTCTGATAACGTGTTTGTATTTTGTTTATTCTGGTGACGTGTTTGTTTTGTTTTCTGTTTACTCTGATGACGTGTATGTTTTCTGTTTACTCTGATGACGTGTATGTTATCTGTTTACTCTGATGACGTGTATGTTATCTGTTTACTCTGATGACGTGTTTGTTTTCTGTTTACTCTGATGACGTGTTTGTTTTCTGTTTACTCTGATGACGTGTTGTCTTTGTTTTCTGTTTTTCTGATGACGTGTTTGCTTTGTTTTCTGTTTACTCTGGTGACATGTTTGCTCTGTTTTCATTGTTATAGGCCCAGTACAATTATTTCCTGTTTATAGACCATTATGTACAGTGCCTTGTTTTTGTTTTTTGTAGGCCCAGTACAGTGATATCCTGTGTATAAACCATTACATTGCCTTGTGTTTGTTAGTCCCCTACCGGTGAAACCAGGGGGACTATAGGTATCCTCTGTGTACGTTTGTCTGTCCATCTGTCTGGCCCCATAAGTCTGTACAAATTGGTTTTCTGCACTTTTTAGGTCACCTGAGTAAACTCAGGTGACCTATTGCTATCCGTTTTCGTCTGTACTCTGGTGACGTGTTCACTTTGTTTTCTGTAAACTTTTGAACATTTTCAGCTTCTTCTCTGTAACCACTGAACCAATTTTAACCAAATTTGGCACAAAGCATCTATGGGTGAAGGGGAGGGGCCAAAACCACTAAAATGAATGCAATCTTTAAAAATCTTCTTCTTTACTCCTGGACATCAAGCAGTCAAACTGTTTGCATGTTGTAATCTGCATTGAGTGTTCACCAAAATTGTGAAATTCATGGCCCTGGGGTCAGGGGTTCTAGTGCTAGGGCATGGGTTCAATTTGTTATAGTGAAAATACATTATTTCTTTGAAAATCTTCTTCTCTGCTCCTGGGTATTAAATAAACCAACTAAGTAGATAGTTAAGATGAGCAAGAGTGCCTCTACCAAAATTATGAATTTTATGGCCCCAGGGTCAGGGGTTCTGATGTTAGGGCGGGGCTCTATTGATTATATACAGTGAAAATACATGATATCTTTGAAAATCTTCTTCTCTGCCCCTGGGTATTAAATAAACAAACTAAATGCATAGTTATGATGAGCATGAGTGCCTCTACCAAAATTGTGAATTTTATGGCCCCAGGGTCAAGGGTTCTGGTGTTGGGGGGGGGGGCTCTATAAATTATATGAAAGAATACATGAATTCTTTGAAAATCTTCTTCTCTGCTCCTAGATATTAAATAAACTAACTAAGTGCATAGTTAGGCCTAGAAAAAATAGGTGGAAAGGTCAGGCTATAAAAAAGAAACTATATTTAATTATAAACGCCAATTTTTTTTTTTGGAAAAGTTGTCTTTTTTCATGAATGGAATATTATAGAAACATGCGTAAAGGCATCAATCCAGTTAATGCAATTGTCTTAAGCATTTTGTGAAAAACACTTACAAAAAGATGTGCCAACCCCCACCACTGAAAATTAATTTTAGGGAAAATTTCACGTAGCTATTTTATTCTCATGAATTGAACACATTTGAAGCTCGAAACTTAGATCGATAAAACTTCTTAGATTTTTTATATCAAATAGCTGAGATTAAAACCCTTTCCTCTTTAGATTTTGTATGAGTAAAAAAATAATCTTTTACCTCTTTTTATTTGACTGCATTAGACATCAAATGGTGTTGGGGAAAAAAAAAAAAAAAAAATACACAAATATATATATATATATATATATATATATATATATATATATATATATATATATATATATATATATATATACAAATTGCCTAAGTACCAAAAAACCTTTTTACAGCGGAAGAACTGGTTGTCTCGATATTTCGTCGTTAATGAGGACGGTATACAATACTTCACTTCTGATCAGGTTAGAATTATATTAGTCTTATGCAAAATATAGAAATAGTAATATTCAGAGGAAATACATTTTTTAAACCTGAAAGCGCTTGTACATTTTTACAAGAAAATCAAACTTGAAAGATATAAAACAGCATAAACAGAATTTTTAAAATCATATATAAATTTTTTCTCACCTTTGTATCTCTTTTACAGCGAATTATCATCTCATTCTGTATTTAAAGTTCTTATTATTGTTTCCTTCCATTTCAAGTCAATAGAAGCATTGAGAGTGATTCCGAGTACTGACGTGCGAGGAGTTCAGGAAATACCGGGGTAAGGAACCGCCAATCAGTTTTGTTCTTACATCTGTGTTTGTATGAATATTTAACAGTGACAAAGAATTCTTTATTTTTAGGTCGCAGTTTGGTCGCGAGAATGTGTTTGAAATCCATACATGTTGCAGAACATTTTATTTACAGGTATAATTAAAAAGAAACAAACATTTAATGACATTTAGGAAAAAACATTATGGGTGATAAATTTCAATTATAAATTAAAATGACTGCATTTATACATGTAGTGTGAGAGCCATGACGACCTAAGGGAATGGGTATCAGCCGTCAGAAGACTTCTACCTCATCCCGTAAGTAAATGTTACATGTAATCTTAAATTGTAAATGTGGCAATAATACCATTGCTCGTTGGTTAGAAGACAACAGTGTTTACCTCGACAATTCTTAGTCGTATACATGTATTAAAACTTTGTTAAATCTATCGATAATTCAAATTCACAATAGCATAACAATAAAATAACTAGTGCTAATTGTAACGGGAACCGTTACAGATGTTCCCCAAACGCTCCCCAACTCCCTTTTTGTGCCATATTCCCTGTAAGCTTCATTAAATAAGGCAAAGTATATGCATTTAAGACTTTGACAACGTTTTTCCAGAAGTATACCAAGTATATTCAAATTTTAGCATAGCACGCGTGCGCATGTGAATCCGTAAGCGTAATGACGATATCATCTTGTCTACACTATTTAGAAATCTTGATTCACTAAATATTGAAGCATTTAATCCAAAAGCATTTAAAAAATACGCTCATTCATGTGTATTTTTAATTTTACTAATTTCACGTGCACGCACGTGCATACATGTGCATGATGACTATACCTTCTTATAGGAGTTTATTATGTCTGCTTATGGTCCAAATCCCATCCTGTTTGGTTGAAAAACAAGGGAGTTACAGCCATTTAAAGTTTAAGCCAATCAAATTGCAGCGCACGTGCATGCGCATGTATTAATGAAAATTGTTATGTATCATATTGTAGGATATCTTAATGCATGCCTATGTTTAAAATTTCATAGCATTTCGTCAAAAATCGAAAAAGATATTGTGATTTTTGTATAAGCCAATCAGAGCAAAGCGCATGTCCACGCACGTGCATGCATGTATATGATGACCATACCATCTTGTAGTAGTCCATTTTGTTTGTCTATGTTCTAAATCCCATCTTATTTGGTTGCAAAACAAGGGAGTTATAGCCATTTCAAGTTTAAGCCAATCAGATTGCAGCGCACGTGCATACGCGTGATTTCATGATTTTTTTTCTATATCATATTGTAGGATATCCTAATGCATGACAATGTTTTAAATTTCAAAGCATTTCGTCAAAAAACAAAGGTGATATAGCCATTTGAAGTTTCAGCCAATCAGATTGCAGCACACGGGCATGCGCATGCTTTCATGAAAATTCTTATACATCATGCTGTAGATCTTCAAAATGTAGGTCTATGTTCAAAATTTCAAAGGATTATGACAAGAAACAAGAAAGATATTGAGACTTTAGTTTCAGCCACTCAGAGCGAAGCGCACGTGCATGCGCGTGAGATCTTAATTTTTTGACCATGTCATTTTGTCTATTCTTCTAATATATACTTATAATATGAGTTTCAAAGCATTTCATCAATAATTTAAGTAGTTACGTCTGTATCAATTATATTGGACATTTCTTGTGTTGCACGTGCGAGCTCTTGCAATCACATGTGCATGCACATGCTTTCATGATAAATCTTATAATACAGGCTGTAGATCTCCCTAATATAAGACTATGTTCAAAATTTCAAATGATTTTATCAAAAAACAAAAAAGATATTGAGACTTTAGTTTCAGCCAATCAGAGCGAAGCGCACGTGCATGCGCGTGCGATCTTGCTATTTTGACCATGTCATCTTGTGCTTACTACTAATATATCCTTACATTATAAGTTTCAAAACATTTCGTCACAAAATAGAAAAGTTATGGTTATATCCATTTTATATTGGTCATTTTAAGTTTTGCACGTGCGCGCTCTTGCAAGCACGTGCGCGCAAAATGACCTTGATTCCGCAAATCTACATAACATGCCTACTTACCCTAAAAAGGTTTCACCTAAGTCGGATGTGTAGTTTACAAGATCACTCGCGGACAAAATTTTCCCAGGAAGAAAAATAATAATAACTAGAAAGTCTGCTATTGCAAGCAATAGCATATGTCGCCCCGTATTAGACAAGACTTTCATTTTTATCATCACTAAAACAAAAGTCCATAAGCTAAGTTTGAACAACCATTGAGTTATATCAGTCCTTTCCATTGGAAACGGAAGACCTTAATTCGGTACATCCCACTCATTATTTTTAGAATCGGTAGGAGAAGAAAGTAGTGCAGGAAAATTACAAGTTCCTCAATTTGCAGACTTGCATAAAAGAAATCTGGCAGATGTACTTGTTAATTGGCAGTATCTTTCCTATGATAAAAGCTTGGGAAATGTAATTTATGAAGAAGATCAGCCGAATTATTTTGTGTATTGTAACGCCAGTGAGAACTCTGAAATTTCCCTCTTTCACTTTCATTTTAGAGGTTCTACCGAAAAACGAATCTGACATGCCACCATCAATTCGAGCATTTCTGCATTGCAGAGAGCTGATGTGTGTTATGAGATAATAAATCATGTGTGAACTTTCTCAGTTTAGCGGAATCATGAACATTTTCGGCGAGATGAATGTTTTGTATACAGTGGTGATCAAGGCTTTGCGAACCATCAGGAGCGGATCAAAGAATTTATGAATGAATAAAAACTATGGAAATGACGTACCAATTTTTTAATTTATACTTGCACTATCTAATGAAATGAATAATATACAAGTGATAGATATACAAGAAAACGCGAAATGATAATAAATGCAGCTGACAATCGTTATTTTTTTTTATATAGATAAAATAAAATATTTATAAATTCAAGAGACAAAACAGAAGGAGAATGAATGATGGCAAAATATCACATGACGGGAACTGAATTTTATGAATGAAGATTTTAAAAAGTTACTTGTAAGTTGTATATGTTATATCTGTGTATTCTACTTGGCTGTGTGCTTCATAAAAAGAGGGGGGGGGGCGTCTTGAACATAGTAAATAGCCATAACGTTTGAACGGTAAGTACTAGGGCTTTCGTATTTCAAATATGTAATCCTTGTGAAAAGAACTTTTATTGGATACGACGAACTTTGACCCTTTGACCTAGACCTTGGAGAACACATGTGTACATCTGAATCTTTTTTTCTGTTTCGTTTCTATGGCAACCGTGAGCGACTCATTACAATTATTTTGAAAGTAGAAAATCACTTTGACACATTGCAAGGAATAAACATTGAAAGTTTCAAAACGATTGCCTGAGTAGTTATTGAGAAAATCGAAATTAAAGAATTTTAACTTTCACCTGGTTTCCATGGCAATAATCGACTATATGAAAATTTTAAATACGAGTTGCAGAACTACAGATACTAATCATTAAAATAAGAAAAGTTTCATGACGAACGTTTAAGGGACCAGAGAGAACACTCTCGGACAAAATTTGTCGCTTTTTACAGGTTTCCATGGCAACGGTAGACATATTGGAACTGAACGACCTCACTGCACAACTACAACCAGTGATCGTCCTTGAAGGAAAGTTTCAGGAAGATTGTCCCAGCCATCTCCGAGAAACAGCCTGGATAAAAAAAACATGCGTACAATATCAATATGTCGTCCCCGACTTCGTTCGGGGCGACATAATAATAAGAACTAGTGCTAATTGTAACGGGAACCGTTACAGATGTTCCCCAAACGCTCCCCAACTCCCTTCTCGTGCCATATTCCCTGTAAGTTTCATTAAAGAAGGCAAAATCTATGCATTTAAGACGAAAACAACGTTTTCCCAAAAGTATACCAAGTATTTCAAATTTAAGCAATGCAGGCGTGCGCATGTGATTGCATGAGCGTAATGACGATATCATCTTGTCTACACTATTTTACTCATTTGCACGTGCATGCACGTGCATGATGACCATACCTTCTTGTAGGAGTGCATTATGTCTGTCTATGTTCTAAATCCCATCCTGTTTAATTGAAAAACAAGGGAGTTATAGCCATTTAAAGTTTAAGCCAATCAGATTGCAGCGCACGTGCATGCACGTATTTTCATGACAATTATTATATATCATATTGTAGGACATCTTAAAGTATGCCTATGTTTTAAATTTCAAAGCATTTTGTAAAAAAAAAACAGAAAAGGTATTGAGATTTTTGTTTCAGCCAATCAGAGCAAAGCGCACGTGCATGCACGTGCATGCATGTGAATGGTGACTATACCATCTTGTAGGAG